GCGTCTGGTCGAGCGGCTAAATCGGGGGGAAGGTACGCGCGATCTGTTAGAGCTTCCTCAAATACAGTTGTGGAGGGAATTCTGCCTGCTGAAGTGTTCAAGGCAATCCATTGTCCTGCTACCATCTCCGCCCGACCCGAAATTGGAACTTTGCCGTCTCCGTCGGTGTATAAGCATTCCATGATGGCTGATGTCTGGGTGTGTGACTGAGTCGATGTCGAAGGTAGAGTGTCCGAGATTGAGTGTAGAAAGAAGAGAAAGAAGAAGGAGAAAAAGACAAAGAGGAAGGCATATGGTAGTCGTCCATCGGATCAGTCCGATCGGACGAGATAAGTTAACTCTGAACTATTCTTACAATAGTGTCTTGACGTCATGGCTTTTCAGCCATTTTGCGACCACTTCAGGTGCATTCGTCAAGGCTCGTTTGGGCTCCCAAGTGTCGTAGAGGGGACTGTATCCCTCCCAACGTACAAGATACTCGAGACCCTTTTTGGTGCGTCTTTCCACTATAATCTTTTCGACCTCATACTCCTCTTGTTCTGGTTTTTTTGTTCTAGTTTCTGGCAGAGATGTCCTATCTCCGAACTCCATAGGAGAAGGTTCGTACTTCCGTAAGTTATGAGTCCTTACGAGTTTACGAGTAAGACTCATTCTTTATCAACTGAGGACTTAGGCAAATTTTTCATTGATTCATTCATTCATTTACCTTTCATCACCGCGGGAACCTTTTCCCTTAAACAGAAAAGCAGCTATAAAATCAGGAAAAATAGCAACAAAATCAGCAAAAAATATCTAAAAAATCAGAATATTGCTTAGTAAGTTGAGGAGGCTGTGTTCAGGGTTCAGGGTCCATATCCAAATATAGAAAGCTGTCTGAAAAAATGGAAACAGATAGGTAGAGAAGCAGCAAAAAGAAAAATAAGCATGATATTTACCATTGCCATGATCATGAAGGGGCCGTGTTCATGGTTCAGGGTCCATATCTAAAAATAGAACAAAGCCAGAAAGATTGTGTAAAATGATTATCAAATAAGCCAAAAAAGGGGAGAAAAATAGGAATGATATTTGCTGTTGTCATGATGTTGAAGGGGCTGAGGGGCTGTGTTCAGGGTCCATATCTAAATATAGACAGAGCAAAAAAAACAACTCAGAGACAATAGCTGGAAAGTGAGGAAAAAGTGAAGAAACTTGTAGACAGTAATTTCTTTATCATTCTCTAGCTATATTTGGGCAGATTCCCATATTTGGAAGTGTATCCTTGGACCCTGAATACAACCTCTGCAATAGTATAGCAACATTAAATATCAGAACTGTGATTATATCATCTAACTAGCCTTCTTTCTTATGCAGATATTGGTCAAAATACACAACTATTTTCAAAAAGTGTCCAATTTTTTCAGTATTTTGTGTTTTTCTCAATAAGGAATGATCTGTGTGACATTATTTATATATATTTGTAAAGCTAAGCAAAGTGGCTACAATTGTTGTTAATAAAGGTAAGTGAGAGGCTGTGTTTCTGGTACTGTGGGAAATTTGACCCAAAAAGGAAACTATTGACAGTTTTATAGAGCATGCTGTTATATTTCTCAATGTGGTCACAAAATGTGACTAGCTATCTTCTTTCCTGAGATATATGCAAAGACACCTATTTATTCATATTTTTTTATGTTTTTCTCAATAAGAAAATCATCTGGTCATATGATTTCAGTACATTTAGAAATGTATAAGAAGAGGCTATAATTCATGTACTGTGGGAAAAAGTTCCCAAATAAGGAAT